CTCCGGGTGCCCAGCGATTCCTGTCCGCGCGCCCATGCTCCCCTCCCTAGTGCCGCACGCTCAGCTCGCTGCACCCCGCTTCCTGTCCACAGCGCCCCGCGCTCCCTCCCTGGCCCTCTCCTCCCCGGCCCACCTCTCCCGCTCCCGCTGACCGGTTATGGGCTCTTCTAGGCCATCGCGTGTTTGATGGACATGAACGCGCTGCTGGACCGCTTCCACAACTACATCCTCCCGCACCTGCGGGGCGAGGACCGCGTCTGCCACTGCAACTGTGGCCGGTGAGTGCGCCCCGGTGCTGGGCACAACACGCGTGATCACACATGAGCGGTGGGCTGCGCAGCCCAGGCCACCCAGGTGCCTCGGCCAGGCGCTGGGGGAGGGGTGTCTCCTGGGACGGGAGGCCTGCGGAGTCAGGACACCCCATGGCTTCGGAGAAGGGGCCTCCAGGCCGTTGCAGAGCTTCCCTGGTCCCAGGCCCGGAGGCCTGAAGGCAGCAGCCAGGTGGTGGTCACCAGAAGGCCCAGACCTGGGAGGGTCAGACCTGGGGCAGCAGAGGTTGCTGAGACTCCTGTGCCGGGGCCTGTGCTGTGGGCTAGGGCGGCAGGCACTGGTCACGGGGGTGGGCAGGGCCTACGTGGAGGGCGCCTGGCACCACCCCAGTGTAGAGGAGGAACCAAGGCAGGAGTGGGGCTGGCTCATTCAAGGTCACAGCATACCCCGCCACACCCACCGACGATCTCCTGTCCTTCTGGCCATGCATGTCTGTACGTCCATGTACGAAATAAACATCTTCTCATGAGCTGCGCATGTGTGTACCGTCTGTGCATAGACATGTGCGAACATACCCCACGCGCACACAGGCATGCACTCATCCCACAGCGGCCCTTATGCAGTGCAAGACCTGTTAGTGTGGGTTTGGCATGACTGTTGTCCCTGCTGGACAGATGAGGTGGACAGGAGCTGTAGAGGATAGACTTACCCAAGGTCACACAGCTAGGCAGAGACGACCTGAGCCCCAAACCATGTTCCTCGTCCCCACCCTGCACTGGTTTCAGGCTCTGTACATATGTAGGGGGCTCAGGGCAGCTGCATGTCTCCTAAGTGTGTCACATGCCTGTGCTGCAGACATGTGTGTTCTAGAATGCAGGCATTAGAGCGGTGACAGTGCGGTGCATTCCCCGACAGTGCAGTCCGTCCCCCTGTACCACAGCCCAAGCCGCCTACCCCACCCCCCATGGCCAAACCAAGCTCTGGGCCTACACTCAGCCCTCCGAACGGTAGGCACACCCTTCACACGCGTGGGCTGCTGTATTGTGACTAGTGCAGGTCTGCCTGTGGCAGCACATTGAGGGCTTACCTGGGCAGAGTGTGTGTGCACAGGTATGTGTGCCTCATTGAGCGTGCTGAGCATGTGACCTCGTGTAGAACAGCACCCGTGGGTGGGAGCTGCACTAAGCTGCCTGTGTATGCAGGAACACGGAGAGCAGTGCCCACTCCAGACAGTGTTCCTGTGTGTGTGTCTACATGTATGTGCTTTGTACACATTTCTGCATACAGGGTTTCATCATACAGACTTGTATATTGACAACATACATGTGTGTGTGTGCAAAGGACGTGTGCATAGGACAATACACAGCGCAGTGTGCAGGGGAGCGTGGGAATGTCTCTGTGTGGATGCACAGGCAGCAGCACAGGTTTGCACGTGGGAGATCTGAATACACCACATACACACATTGCCATGACAGTCTACTCACATGTGTGTGCCTCATACATGCCTACATGTGGAGTTGTGTGTGGAGATTTGTGTGTAAACTGATGCTGAAGCACGCACATCAGCAGGCAGCATCCGTCCCATGCACACATACATGCACATGACTCAACCTCAGAGAGGCCAGCTATGTGCAGGGCTGAGAATGTGCATCCATGTGTGACACATACCATGTTTGTACCGGGAGTGTGTGCAAGTGCATGGATGTGGGCCCTGGGCCCATGTCCACAGTATACATGCTGTGTCCTGTGCATGTGGCTGGCGTGTATACACAACATGCATCAGGCCTCGGGTGGACATGTGTGGCATGTGCACATAGGTAGGACACGTGTATGTCCCCACCAGACATATGTGTGCACATAGCACATCCAACTTTTATCTGGGAGACCTGAGCCCCTAGCCAGCCCCAGGGGCCAGACCTGGGATTAAGAGGAGGCCAGGATCAGGGAGAAGAGCTGCACTGCCCGGGCCAGTGGAGGCATGCACAGATCATGACCTTTCACCCAGAAGTCAGAGTGGAGAGCAGGTGGTGTGAGCCTTGCCCTACTCACAGCTGCCTGGGGTGTTTCTAGCTTCCTTGGGGATCAGGCCTGGGTTCCCTGTGATGGCCTGGTGTGTTGTGGGCAGTCCCAGTTGTGTTGCAGTGCACCTCAGCCAGCACTGCGGCTCACGGGACCATGGAGTCAGGAAGCCCATCCTCTTCTTGGGCTGATGCAGCCACAGCCATGGGATAATTGATTTTCCATCAAACTGGGTGGGGGTGCAGCTGGAGTATTTCAAGTTCAAGGCCAGCCTCAGTTACACATCAAGTTCATGGCCAGTCTGAGACCATCTCGGGCAAGCAGACAACACAAAACATGTCTTGTCTTTCTCTGTCATGGTGGCAGATAATGGCTACTCATGAACTCATGACCAGGTAAGCTGCAGCTGTCAGGTGTTAGTCATGGTCCCTCCTCAGCTACTGGCCAAGGCTGGCAGCCGAAGTCCTGCCCACCAAGCCTGCCACACTGCACAGGGCCCTGGGGAGGGCTGGAGGGCCAAGGCAGGGGCCACCCCTTCCCTGCCCTGCTGGCCTGGACTTGGGCTCAAGCATCCCAAGGTGTCTGTGTGGCCTGTGCTGGGCCCACGACATCACCAAGGTAGCAGCAAGGGCCCACCTGGGACTTTCATTCTGGGCACAGCCTCTCGGGGGGGGGGGTGTAGGTGCCGAGGTTTCCCACACAGGGAAGAGGGAGAAGCAGCTTTGGGGAGTGGAGCTATTTTCAGCACATCTTTGAGGTGTCTGTGGATCCCACGTGCAGGCACAGGCATCTGGAGCTTGGAGCAGGCGTGGGGGCAGCAAGGAGGTGGCCAGGAGAGTGGCTGTGTGCCTTGCCCTACTGGGGAGAGGACAGCAAGGCTGGAGCTTGGCCCCGGGCACCCAGAGCCAAGGTGTCCAGGTCTGCTGTCGTGGGGGCCACTCCTTTCATAGGGCCATCCTCTCAGGGGAGGTGCCCAGTCAGCTGTGGACGTGGAGGGAGCTGCAGGGCCACAAAAGGCCAACCAGGGCCTCAATGTGCTGGTGGCCTGAGCCTAGAGAACCACCAGGTGGGGAGGCTGAAGCAGGCTGAGACCTTGGGAGGCCAGAGCCATGGTGGATGCATGGACTAAGGAGAAGGCCCAGGACCTGTTCAACCTGGCCCTGGACCACTGGAACTTGTCCGTCCCAGATGCACATGGTCTGTCCTCAGCCCAGGTGGGGAACAAAACCAAAGCCTCCAGCACAGCAGGTGGGGCGGATGGGGGTGCACAGTGTGGCCCAGGCAGATGCACTGCATTGGGGGCAGCAAGTGTGGACAGCTCAGCGGCAGGTGAGGACCAGGCAGTGCTGCTGGGCCTGGGCATCAGTGGACTGTGGCAGCCCCCTGTGGCCCTGGGCCCATACTCCCCTCCCATACATGGAGCCTGCTCCCAGGAACCCCAAGGTGTCCTGGGGACCCATCCAAGGTGGGCAGAGAGGTGCCAGCCCACCCTGCCACCCACAGGCACCACATCCACTACGTGATCCCGTACGACGGGGACCAGTCGGTGGTGGACGCCTCCGAGAACTACTTTGTGACGGGCAATGTGACCAAGCAGGAGATAGACCTCATGCTGGGGCTGCTGCTGGGCTTCTGCATCAGCTGGTTCCTGGTATGGATGGACGGCGTCCTGCACTGCGCTGTGCGCGCCTGGAGGGCTGGCCGGCGCTACGGTGAGTGCCTCACACCTGCCACGGGGACGCCCCGCCCACCGGCACCTGACTGCCCTGTCCTCCCACAGATGGCTCGTGGACCTGGCTGCCCAAGCTGTGCAGCCTGCGGGAACTGGGCCGGCGGCCACACAGGCCCTTCGAGGAGCCCGCAGGGAACATGGTGCACGTGAAGCAGAAACTCTACCACAATGGCCACCCCAGCCCACGGCACCTGTGAGCCGTGCACAAGACTCTCGGGGCCTCTTTGCGGATGAACAAGGGACCTTGTGGCCGCCCAGCAGACAGGACGGGACTGCGGCCTTGGGCCCAGGGTGTTCCTGGCTGGGGCTGCCGGGCGTGTCCAGCAGAAGGTGCTGTCTCATCTTCTTTTTATAAAGGGGTCGGGTGAGGGCTGGGTGGGGACGGCTGCCAGCCTTGGGGCAGGGGCCTGGCTCTCTCACCCTGGAGGTGCTGGGGGCCGCCTGTTGGGCCCTGGGGGGATAGGCCAGGGCAGGGCCATGCCTGCCTGAGGCCATATCTGATTGAAGGCTGCTGTGTTTCCTGTGAAGTGTCTTGTCCATCCGTCCCTCCCTCAGGATCTTGAAGGGAGGGAGGCGTGGGCCACCATCTGCACACAGGAGCATGTGCATGGGGTGTGTGCGGCTGGGGACCTGGGGATGGGGGGAACCAGAGCCCCAGCACCAAGCTGTGAAGCCCACCCTGCCAGGCCAGTAAATTCTCCAGAAAGCTCCAGCCTCTGCTTCTTGAGTCACCTCTGACCCCAGGGCTAACAGGGTCCTCACCCCACCCCTGTGTCAGTCTTGAGACACATGCAAGGGGTCTGTCAAAGACTTTTATTTGATTTTGGATAAAAACACTCAGCTGCAGCCCCAGGCAGGCAGCAGATCACTGAGCACTTGGCACCGCTGCCCACAGCCATATCTGCCCTGGGTGTGGGCCAGGCTCAATGGCATAAGCATGTGTGGGCGGGGGAAATGTCCAGCCAGGCCAGATGGGCAGCTGCTTGGTCTTGGTCAGACTACGGGCCATGGCCACAGTACATGGCCACCTCCCTGCTTAGGCAAGTGTCCTGAACACAGGGAAGGCCTGTTCCTCCCCAGCAGCACCCACAGAGGGAGGGTAGGGGCGGGGGAGCCCCAACTACACCGCTGCCCACAGCTGGCCTGGGGCCTGCAGCGCAACCCTGGCAGGAGGGGGTTGCTGGTCAAGTGTCAGGGCCTGGCACGGTCACTGTGGACATGGGACTGGGTCCCTCCACTTTCAGCCACTGCATCTTCTGCTGGTGCTGCAGGACAGCGTCCTGGACGCGGGTGTCCATCATGGCCTCAGTGAGGACCCCGTCCTCAGAGGCGTATGCCATGGCCTGAGGAAAGAGGAGCCAAATCTGGGCTCTATGCCAGCACACACAGACGAGCTCAGTGCCCAACCCACCCTGCCCTCTGTAGCCAAGCCTCTGTGCCCGCTGCAGAGCTGGGGCAGCTCCTGAGGCAAGACAGGCACTAGGCCACACGCGAGTCCATGCCTGGGTGCCACAGGCTTCACCAAGCTGAGGCCTCAGGGTGGAGCAGAGCTTTTGCTGAAGTCACCTGCAGCCACAGGCTGCCCGTCCAGCCCATGGCCTCGTCCCTCCTCAGACAACACTCGGGTCTGGCCAGCAGGGTCTCATGCACCCGGGGTTCCTGGGTGCAGAGGAAAGGCCACAGAGCACACATCAGAGAAGTAGCAAGGCCCATGGCACCACATGGGGAACCCCCCAACAGAGCCTATGAGTGAAGACTATGTGCGCCCCCTCTGGTGAGCAAGTCCCCTGGCAGATGCACCCCAAGTCCAAGGTCCAGCTCCAACACCAACCCAGCCCCTGCGGCAGAGAGCAGCTCAGCGAGGGCTGGGCCTGGGGCAAGGCAGGTGGTAACAGAGGAGAGAAGATAGCCAGAGGTGGCCCCAGCAGTGACAGGACACCTGCTGTGTGTGACACCCACAACTGGGCAGGGCTCAGAGCACTGGCACCCTCCATGTCAGCCTTGCAACTCTTTGAATCTAAAGTTATAAAAAAATGAAGTTTTAAATTGGGCGTGGTGGTACACCCCTATATTCCCAGCACTTGCTTGGGAGGCTGAAGCAAAAGGATCACTATGAGTTTGAGACCAGCCTGGGCTACATAGTGAGTTCCAGGGCAGCCTCAACTACATAGTGAGAACCTATCTCAAAAAAAAAAAATTAAGTTTAGGTCTGGTGATTTAACTCACTGGCACCATGCCTGCCTCACAAGCGTAAGGTTCTGAGTTCAATCC